CAGCATCCAAGACAGTTCCTGTCCAGGGAGCTAGTTAATTTTCACTGACCTTTTCATATGCTCATGAGATCGTTAACAGAGACTTAGTGACATGTGCCAGGCTTCAGTTCGCCAGAAAGGGCCTTTGGTCTCATTGTCTTCTTCTTTGCCTCTTACCAGTACAAGTTTACTGAATCCTTCAAGAGGCACACTCTTAACATAAATATTTTGAATCTATTTATCTGTAGAAGGTGTTTCCCCCAATAGAACGTAAGCTCTTTGAGGGAACAAGCCCTTGAATTTTTGCTTTTGTATCATGTCCTGGCAAATTGTAGACTTGGGATAAATGCTCATCGAATGAATAGATCAATGAATGATTCCTGCCTCCGTGCCTCCATGCCTCTGGGGACCCTTACAAATGCTGTCCTTTAGGAGGGTCATGCTTACTAGCTGTGTGACCCTGAGCAAGTCACTTAACCCCAATTGCCTAAAAATAATAATAAAAAAAAGAGGAGGGTCGAACATTCGCCCCTCAACTAGCCTGGAAAGGTCACAGGTCACACAGGCCATAGGGCCAGGGGTCCAGAAGCTTGGTCCACAACTGCTCCCATTAACCCCTGGGGCATATGGCCCCACACCTTCAGCCTCCAGACTCAGCTGGTGTCAGCTTGGGGGCTTGTTCTTTGGCCCATAGATGTTCATCCTCCAGCTGAGAGCCCTTGTCCCTGAGCTCTGATAAAGCTTCACTACTTAAACAAGGGAGGAGAGAGGCTATAGAACATCACCGGTCCCCTAGCCCACCCACTCCAGCACTGGCTGCATCCATGCACTGGCTCCCCCCCCTTTCCCCACCCCTGCCCTAAAGAACCCACATAAAGACCCACACAAGGTGGCTCAGATCCCTGGAGCACACGCTGGGGAGTGTCATGTTAGTTTGGGCAAAAGCAATGGTTTAGCCGGGGATGTATGGCTTGTGCGAGCTGATTGTTAAATTTTTAGCGTGAGCATGGGCAAACACTATGAATTAGGGCTTGATGTATTGTCTTGTTAATTGTTTAGACTCAATAAAGTGAGGAACAAAAATAATTATACAAAATAATATATAAAATATAATATATAAATAACAATACAAAAAATAAGGCAGATTACTCTTTTTTTATTAATTTATTTTGATTTATCGATAATCACTTCCATATGCTTTTGAGTTTAAAATTTTTCTCCCCCTTCCTCCCCATCACCCTCCCCAAGATGGTGCACAATCTGATACAGGCTATACATTTACATTCATATTAAACATATTTTCACATTAGTGATGTTGTAAGTAAGAATTAAAACCAATAGGAGCAACCATCAGAAAGAGGAAACAAAACTCAACAGAAGAGAAAAAAAATCAGATTACTCTTAAAAGTGCTTCCCACAATGCAATATTCCCCTGGAGAGCTGGTTGTTAAACACTTATCAGCACGCCCCTAGTCCTAGCCCTTCTGGACCCTACAGTCTGTTCTCTACCTCTAGGTGAGCTAGTAGGCTGGTCACCAGCATTCTCAGAACTTCAGGCCTGAGACAGCCTGGAATAATGAATAGATCCCTGGACTTGGAAGACCTGAGGTCAAATCCTGCCTTGGGTGCTTAGCAGATTATGCATGTGTGACCCTAAGCAAGTCACTGTCTATGCCTCAGTTTCCTCATCTAAAAAATGAGGGGGTTGGATTCATTGGTCTCTAAGGTCCCTTTCACTCTAAATCTATGATCCTAAGTTTCAATGATTCCCAAACTTCCCTCGAATCAGGAGTTATATATCCCAAACTCCCCCTAAATCCTCCCCAAATCAGCTCCCAACAGAGCTCTAGCTAACCCTGTTACCTGCTCTAAGGCTCATTCCCACCTTCCCCCTTACCCCCATCATCCAGGGCAAACTGGTCTATCTCAGACTGGCTCTCTGCCCCGCCTCTCTCAGGAATGTGCTTAGGTTGACCAGTGAGTGGCCCAGAAATGTAGGTTCAGTATCTGCTGGAGCCTGACAGAGCGAGGAGTGACCTCTGTCCTTTGCAACAGTAGACAGCACTCACCAAAAGCCAAATATGGAGGATTGGGGGAGTAGCCAATCATCCCTTCTTCCTGATGGGTTCTCAAAATCTCATCTCCTCTTTTCCTGAATTTCCACACTGTGTTTAGACTCTACCAGGAAGTCCAGCCTTGACTGTGGGCTCCCCAAGGACAGGCCTCACTCTCTGCCCCCCATTTCCCACTGGGCCTGTGACAAGGTATGTCCTTGAAGTGATGGGACTCAAGAAGAGTATGGTGCATTGTAAAGGGGCGTGGCTTCGATTCAGCTCTACTAATTACTGCCTATGAGGAAGAAACGCCACCAATCATTTAACCATTCTGGGCCTCAGTTTCTTCATCTCTAAAATGAAGGGGTGGGATTTAATGATCCTTATGGTCCCTTTCAGTTCTAAATCTGTGAGCCTGTAAGTCTAGTTAGTATATCTTATGCAGAAGTATATCTTGTGCTAGGAAATATACAGAGGCAAATATGGCAGCCTGACCCCCTCAAGAGATTTAGGCCCAGTTGGAGGTTTGGCTGGGGAAGCCTTGAGGGTCATTCATTGCATTTCCCCTACCCACTCCCTTAGGAGCCTCTGGGCATGGCTATACCTGGCCAATCATCAGTACTTGGATGTTTTCCTTATCAGAGCCCTGGTCAAACTCACCAGCAATCACCAGATCAGATTTCCTAGAATAGAGGGAACAGAGAACTAGACCTTTCCCACTCTTGTGGAAGAGAGAGGTTCCACCCCACAGGGCTATCTATGTATGGAGCACCATTGGACTTCATCTGGTATATGCATTTGTGTGCTGTGCTGGGGGGGAGGGGGATTCAATTCAGGACCATCTTCTGAAGGGGGCACATGTTCTGTAGGCCACCGCCTTGTTCCCACACCCTCACAAGGCTGCAAGTGCTATTCTTCCTTTGTCCCTACTTCCCTCCCCCCATATTTTCCCAGAAATTCTAGACTGTTTGGTCTTGTAAGTGAATTTGGTTATTATTTTGCCTAATTCCATAAAGTAGCTGGAGGCAAACTGGCACAATGAGAAGAAAATCTGAACTGATCTTTACTCAGCTGCTTACTACCTGTGTGACCCGAGACAGTCATTTAATGTCTCTGGGCCTCAGTTTCCTCGACTGTAAAGTGTATGTGGTTGGCTTGGACATTGATAAGTCTCTCTGGTGCCCTCTAGCTCTACATCTGTGACCCTATGGTCTTAACCCTTTAGTTGCCCTAAGTCTATACATTAATTTAAGCAATATCCTCATTTTTATTAATATTGGTACAACCCAACCAAGAGCCATAAACCTCCCTCCAATTATTTGTCTTCCTTTATTCCTGTAAGGAGTATTGCTAACTGTATTTCTCTAAGTTCTTGGTAGATTGGTCCCCAATATTTTGTTCATTTGGAATGAGATTTCTCTTTCTAGTGTATCATCCTGGGTTTTGTTATGACTATAGAGAAATGCTGATGATTTTTGTAGATTTATTTGGTATCCTGCTGCTTTCCTGGATCTATGAATTGTCTCAACTCATTTCTTTGCTGATTCTCTGGGATTCCACAGCCCCAGGAAGGAAGTTAATTCTTTCCATTCCTCATCTGACACCACAATGGTTAGCAGTGAACACCCAGTCTTGGTTGATGATTGATCCCCCACGGAAGTGGAAGCCGGTTTGGTCCTGGGGTAGAGAAGACAGAGGAAACCATTATTTCCCAAGTTCCAGACACTACAGAGCAGTGAAACCTCAGGGATTCTGGGATTCAGGCACAGACTAGGGATTGGGCTAATCAAGGAGTCTGGCTGCCCCACCCTTGAGCTTCAGGCCTTCTGGCTCTAGGACTGTCATTCTGCCCTCAGGGTCCTATCATGGACAGAACCCCCCCTAGGAAGCAGGGGCCAGACTCTTACCTGAAGGGAGACCTGCCAGGGCCAGGAGCCAGGGACAGCATCTTCACCATTGACGATCCTAGCCAGGCCACTCAGGACAGGCTCAATGGCAGGGATGCCACAGCCTGGAGGAGACGTCAAGATAGGAATGACAAGGAGAGACTTGAAGATACTGACAATTCCTAAGTTCCAGCCAGGTTAGGGAGCTGGGTAGCCCAGCTCACCTCTGAAGGAGAATGACTCTTCATTTTAGATCTCAAAAGTTCATTTTTCACACATCTCTGAATTATTCACTATGTGATGTGAAGAGGCAGCTGGGGTCAAATATAACCTCAGACTAGTTCTTTTTTCTAGGCCTCATTTTTCTCATCTGTAAGATGAGGGAGTTGGAATCACTGATCTCCAAGGTTCCTTCTGGCCCTAAATCTATAATCTTGTGATCATGTCAGTTGACTTCTCTGGACCTCAGTTTTCTCATCTGTAAAATGAGCAAAGGGGTAGAGATACCTCCAAAGTTCCTTTTAACTCTAAATCTACGGTCCCAGGATCTTA